GTGACCCTTTTTGTGGCTATATGGCTTGAAGTTTGTGGACAGCTGACCATCACACCTGTATGGAGATCTCATTCTAAAGTCATGGCCATTAATATAGAGTTTGCCCCCTTGTTCCCCCCCCCACCATGACCATTAATATGGAGATGACCCTTTTTGTGGCTATATGGCTGGAAGTTTGTGGATACGTGACCATCACACCTCTATGAGCTTGTATGGCGATCTCATTCCAAAGCCATGGCTGTTAATATAGTGTTTCCCCCCACCATGGCCATTAATATGGAGGTGACCCTTTTTGTGGCTATAAGGTCAGATGTTTGTGGATTCCTGACCATCACACCTGTATGAGCTTGTTGGACATCCCATTCGAAAAACCAAGGCCATTTATATAGAGTTTCCCCTCTCTCCCCACCATGGCCATTCATTTGGAGTTGGCCTCTTTGTGGCTATAACATCCTCCACCCCTCTGGGAAGGCTTTCCTCGAGATTTTGAAGGGTGTCTGTGGGAATTTATGCCCATTTGTGAAGTCAAGCAGTTATGATCAATGAGAAGACCTCGCTCACCATCGGCAAAGGTGTTCAGTAGGGTTGAGGTCAGGGCTTTGTGCAGGACACTCAAGTTTCTCATCACCAAACTGGCCAAACCATGTCTTTATGGATCTGGCTTTGTACACAGGGGACAGTCATGCTCAGTAGGGTTGGAGTCAGGGCTCTGTACAGGACACTCAAGTTCCTCCACACCCAACTGGTCAACCCATGTCTTTTTGGAGCTGGCTTTGTACGCAGGGGACAGTCATGGTGGAACAGAAAAGGACCTTCACCAAACTGTTACCAAAATTGTCGAACATGTCCATTAACAGGACCCTTCATTGGAAACACCTGAACTCAATCATATGGAGGGGTCCACATTTTTTGGGAATATAGTGTAGGTGTGATGGTCAAGGTGCCTACAAATGTTTGACCATATAGAGTATGTGTGTAAAGGAATAGGTTACACTATCACATATGTCAGGAGTAGGTAAACTTCAGCTCTCCAGCAGTGGTGAAACTACAAGTCCCATTAGGGGTTGCAAAACTCTGAGAGCTACAGACCTGACTCTCTGAGTTAGATGTATGTAGGGAATTGTATGTTCACTATGGAGGGCCGAAGTTTAGCTACGCCTGACATATAGCAAGTAATGGTCTATTGTCCCTCCAGCTGATGTCTAGACTTGAACCCATATCCAGAAAACATCCATTTTGCTCTACACGGTACACTCCAAGAACCCCATCAATGGCCGAGACAACCGAGAAGCTGCTGCAGATGACTTTGTTACACGATTGTTAAGCCTTCAGCTCAGGCAGTGACTGGATTGCTTAGTTGGCCTTCTCAGCATTCTCAAACTCTTCAACCTCACTGGATTCACCGACGATTTTCCCGTCCACCAGCGTCTGTGTGACAATCTTTACAATCTTCTTGGTTCGAATGTCGTGTTCTGCAAAGCAGAAGATTTGGTATATGTCTTATAGCAGCCACATTAGTATCTACACAGCAACATAAGCCCCCTTCCACCCCCAGGCCCCATAGCAGCTGCCTAGGCTGCTATGGCTATAGTTACATCACTGCCACCACTGTATCTATGGAGTGAGCCATTGGGTGTCACCAGGGCCGGTGCTAGACTATTTTGCACCCTAGGCAAGACCAGCTACTTGCATCCCCGCAGCCCCGCTCCCGCGCTGCTCCATTTTCCTGCCGCGTTAGCTTCCGCAGGCGATAGGTGACTGTAAGCAGCTGGGAGCAATAGCCAGACTGCTATTGGCTATTTTAATTTGAAATAGCCAATAGCAGACTAGCTATTGAAACACCACATACTGAGCGCAGAGGAGCGGACTTGAGAGTGAAAGTTGTCTCTCAGTTCCGCTCCTCTACTCAGTGGGCGGGTTCAATAGCCAGCCTGCCATTAGCTTTTGCAATTTTGAAATAGAGGGTGGGATGGTATCACCCTGGCTGGACTACTAATATGTCTGCCTTTGTTCATCTCCATTACATGGTGGCTGATGGGAATAGCAGAAGAAAGGTAACTTTATTTTGTCTTCAGTTCAGAGGAAGTGATAAGGACGCGACCCGTCCGGCAGCATCAACATGTATATTCTGTACTGGCTGAAAATGATCTTAGCCTGAACAAAGGCAACTAATGCAACCACCACATCTAAGGGCTGGTAAGCTGCAATATAGGACATATTTGTTTTTGGGGTTAGGTACGCTTTCAATCTCATAACAGGGCTTTTTTCCCCCCATTTGTTCCAAGTTTTGAATTATAATTTCAGAAGTGAATGGAGCAGACTTACGTTTTGGTTCAGGGGTCTTCTCCCTGGAAACAGAACATAGAAAACACATTAATATAAAACTAGCGGGGGAAAACGGTAGGAAAGTACAGCTCGGGGTGTTGGCACCAAGTTTACTTTGGTCTCCCCTGCTTTATTTATTTTATCCTTTAAAGCTCAATTAACTTTTTGTGCCTCAACCAACCAGGCCAGGGCTACATCACCAGTGCATCACTCAACCAGGCCAGGGCTACATCACCAGTGCCTCACTCAACCAGGCCAGGGCTACATCACCAGTGCCTCACTCAACCAGGCCAGGGCTAAATCACCAGTGCATCACTCAACCAGGCCAGGGCTACATTACCAGTGCCTCACTCAACCAGGCCACGGCTACATCACCAGTGCCTCACTCAACCAGGACTACATCACCAGTAACTCACTCAACCAGGCCTACATCACCAGTACCTCACTCAACCAGGCCAGGGCAACATCACCAGTGCATCACTCAACCAGGCCAGGGCTACATCAACAGTGCCTCACTCAACCAGACCAGGGCTACATCAACAGTGCCTCACTCAACCAGGCCTACATCAACAGTGCCTCACTCAACCAGGCCTACATCACCAGTGACTCACTCAACCAGGCCTACATTACTAGTGCCTCACTCAACCAGGCCAGGGCTACATTACCAGTACCTCACTCAACCTGGCCAGGGCTACATCCCCAGTGCCTCACTCAACCAGGTCAGGGTTACATCAACAGTGCCTCACTCAACCTGGCCAGGGCTACTTCACCAGTGCCTCACTTAACCAGGCCAGGGCTACATCAACAGTGTCTCACTCAATCAGGCCAGAGCTACATCACCCGTGCCTCAGTCAACCAGGCCAGGGCTACATCACCGGTGCCTCACTCAGCTAGGGCTACATCGCCAGTGCCTCACTCAATCAGGCCTAATCATCAGTGCCTCGCACTCACCCAGGCAAGGCCTACATCACCAGTACCTCACTCAACCAGGCCAGGGCTACATCAGAGAGTGCCTCACTCAACCAGGCAAGGCCTACATCACCAGTACCTCACTCAACCAGGCCAGGGTAACATCACCAGTGCCTCATCCAACCAGGCCAGGGCTACATCACCAGTGCATCACTCATCTAGGAAAAACAGTAATTTTAAGTAAAAGCAAAACATTTTAAACTCATGAATATAAGAAGCTTTTAGATCAGCATAGAGAGCTGTATGTTGAAGTGATCTTTAGGGAAAGAGGGTCAAGGTTTGCTTTAAGCAATGACAAAGGTATTACTATGAAGTCAATAGTCCTATATCAATTAGCAAAAGCCTATAGGAATTTAAAAAGGATTCTGGTCCATAGTGAGTGTATGGGTACAGAGTATTTTTTTTTTCCTTTCAGCATCCTCCTTGCACAGCAACACAACCAATTGCCTCCTTGTGTCCTTCCCTCCCCCAGTCTGAGCTCTGCCGTACAGGTGCTGATACCAAGTCTTAGGTAATGACTTGCCTTGAAAAATACTTTTAATGCCGTATTAATGAGTACAGAGCTGCATTAATGTGTGTCTTTTATATCTGCCCGGAGTTCAGCTTCAATCCAAGCTGTGAAATGTACCTACAACATGAGAAGAGCATAACAAGTTTTGAAGAACATCTCACACCCCAATATCATCCTAAATCTCCCACAGAACCAGGACAGCTGAGGAATGCTGGAGCTCTGTTTATAGAGAGGGGGCGGTCACAGATCACACAGGGCTGCGACATTCTCAAGGCATCACATTGAATCACTCTCTCCATTCATGACTGCATTCCATTGGTGTCACCACACCGGACCAAACTCACGGCGATTCTCCATCCAGTAGACGCCGATACTCCGCAATTTCGGCTTCCAGGGTCTCCTTAATCCTCCACAGCGCTTCATACTCCAGCTTGGTGTTCTGGACGGCGCGCAGGACCTCCGACATGTCTTGTTCTACAGCCCCTATGCTGCCCTGGAGTCGTTCTAGTTCCTTCTTGTACCGGAGCTCGGTGTCGTCAAGGTCCCGTCTCAAGGCGTTAATCTGAAAAATACAAGTGGATCTCTAGATCGTACAGTCGCAGAACTGGTATCATATTGAACTCTGGTGCCAAACCTGCGGCCCTTCGGTGTGTGTGAGGGTCCCAGCAGTCAGTAGTGGGAGCACTGGTTTCAGTGGTGGGCCTGGACCTGGCGCTCCAGTAGCCCCTATGTTAATCTGGCCCTGGGTGTAGTGTAGTACTGTAAGTGTGCTGACCTCAAAGGGAAGGTGAAGTGTAGAAAGTGTGTTGACTTCAAACATCCAATTGTGTGAAGGATAAGTTCATTTGTTCTGAATTTTCCTGACCATGACTAGATTTTTGAAGAGAGCCCAGGTCTACTTTACTTCATGACACTTCTATTCATACTTCCATACAGTAAATCCCCCCCCCCCCCTCCTCCCTCCCAATGTCATGATGATAAGAACTCATTGTTCCCACCTGGTTTCCTGCAGTCTCCAGTTCCAGCTGTAGGCCTTGCAACACAGTTCTCCTCTCCCGCAATTCGTCCTGTGCCCTCCGGACATCTTCATCTTCCTTTGCTATCTGTGATGTCATAGTTTCGTACTGGAAAACAAGTGGCACCATATATTATCCTCACTCTAACATTGACAATAACAAATGTAAATGTAGTTTCATCGTTAGTTAGACCGCCCTTTCTGAACCTCTTGATCCCAGATGAATTATTTTTAGGTCTTAGGAAACCTTTGCAGAACATAATAATATCTGCAGCTTAAAGTACATCAGAGCGATGAGTGAGTTTCAGAAATCTTTAAAGAACACAATACTGTGGCTTATGTTGAGTATTTGACTTCCACCACACCCTCCCGCTCTATAGGACACATTGGTGGTCACTGGAGAGATGCCCTCTTACATTGGTAGTCACTGGAGAGATGCCCTCTTACATTGGTAGTCACTGGAGAGATGCCCTCTTACATTGGTAGTCACTGGAGAGATGCCCTCTTACATTGGTGGTCATTGGAGATATGCCCTCTTATGTTGGTGGTCAGTGGATAGATGCCCTCTTATATTGGTGGTCATTGGAGGTATGCCCTCTTACATTGGTGGTCAGTGGATAGATGCCCTCTTACATTGGTGGTCAGTGGATAGATGCCCTCTTACATTGGTGGTCATTGGAGATATGGCCTCTTATATTGGTGGTCAGTGGAGAGATGCCCTCTTACATTGGTGGTCATTGGAGATATGCCCTCTTATATTGGTGGTCATTGGAGATATCCCCTCTTACATTGGTGGTCATTGGAGATATGCCCTCTTACATTGGTGGTCAGTGGAGATTTGGCCTCTTATATTGGTGGTCAGTGGAGAGATGCCCTCTTACATTTACAGAAGATCCATCATCATTATGTCAAACATCATTATCCAATGTTGTTGCCCCCCTATATTACCATATTGTGTGTACCTGTGCCTGGAATAGGGTATCTGCATCCTCCTTGTTCTTCCTTATGATGTCTTCATATTGTGCACGAATTTCAGACAATAGGCTCTGCAAGTCAGGCCCTTGAGCAGCATCCAGCTCAACCTCTACCTTTGTACGTGCCAATGTATTTTTGACAGCTGCCAGTTCCTGTAGGAAAGATAGAATATATCAATGCGCTGACATCTTAAATAGAGATTGTAATGCTAGTTAGCTCTAGCAGTCTCATGTGACAGTTTCATGTCTCCAGTAGCAATGTCCCCAATCTCCATCCCTTCCTGTAGTGTGTCTGAAGCTTCTCATCATCTCCTGTAACAGGTCCCTAGTCTCTGACCATCTGATGTAGCATGTCCACAGTCCTTCTGTAGCATAACTTACTCTAAATATGATGTGTGGCCCTTTGGTGATTTCAAGGGCTCCAGTTGAGGCCCCGTGTACTAAGTAGGTTGCCCACTGCTGCTTTAGACACACTGTAGGCTACAATGGGACAGGAATGATGTGACTGGAGACTGGCTCTTCATTTTTGGGGTCCAGCGATGAATGACCATCAGGACACCATCTATACAACGTTTATATGGGTTTGTACTCAACATGGCTAAAAATCTGACTGGTCAGTATTACATAATTTCCCACTAGTCCAGGGCAAAATTACTTTACTGTCTTTGGTCCTGAATGTCAAACTCAGCAAATTATCTAATAATTTGGTTGGGCGTAGCCGGCCCTTGACTTTTAAGGCCAAAAGTTATACCATACAACCAAGACACTCAAGGCAGTTCAATGAGGTTCTTCATTGGTCAACATATGGCCACTCCAACTCTCTGCTGATGCCATGTCTGGAGTGGACAGATTTGTCCATCAATAAAATTGTCCAAGGTCTAAAGTTGGCTGACTCAGCATACACATAGCAATGAATGGCTTCCTGGACCAAGCCCTTTAAAAAAAAAATTCTGCCTGGCCAGCAAATTATGTAATAATTTGATTGGGCATAGCCAGCCCTTGACTTTCAAGGTCTCAAGATATACTATACAACTAAGACACTCAAGGCAGCTCAATGAGATTCTTCATTGGTCAACATATGGCCAACATATGGCCACTCCAACTCTCTGATGATGCCATGTCTGGAGTGGACAGGTTTGGCCATGACAACGATTGACCGAGGTCTAACTTTGTCTGACTCAGCATGCAGAAAGCCATGAAGGGCTTATTGGACCAAGCCCTTTAAAAACGTATTCGGCAACAGCTCAACATGCCTAAAGAGCTGACTGGTCAGTATTGTTCCCTTTTCCCACTAGACAAGGGCAAAATTACTTTACTACTAGTGGATCCAAATGTAAAATCACTCAACTCAATTGAAAAGATCTGCAAATAATCTAATAGGTTGGTCAGTATCAATTTGGTTGGGCATAGCCGGCTCTTCACTGTCAAGGCATGAAGATATACCATGCAACCAAGATGGTCGAAGCACTTCAGTGAGGTTCTTCATTGGTCATCATATGACCACTCCAACCCTGTGATGCCATGTCTGGAGTTGACAGGTTTGGCCATCACAACGATTAACCAAGGCCTTCTTGGACCAAGCCCTTTAAAAATCAATACTGTTTGGCCAGCAAATTATGTAATAATTTGGTAGGGCATAGTCCGCCCTTGACTTTCAAGGCCTTAAGATCTACCAAGCAACCAAGGCAGTTCAATGACATTCTTCATTGGTCATCATATGGCCACTCCAACTCTCTGGTGATGCCATGTCTTGAGTGGACAAGTTTGGACAGCTCAATGATTGACCAAGGTCTACGTTTGGCTGACTCAGCATGCTCACAGCCATGAATGGCTTCTTGGACCAAGCCCTTTAAAAAACAATACTGTCTGGTCAACAAATTATCTAATAATTTGGTTGGGCAAAGCCGATCCTTGACTTTCAAGGACTTAAGAGCAACCAAGACAGTCAATGCAGATCAAAGACCTTCTTCATTGGTCATCATATGACCACTTCAACTCTCCGGTGATGCCATGTCTTTAGTGAACAAGTTTGGACAGCTCAATGATTGACCAAAGTCTACATTTGGCTGACTCAGCATGCTCACACCCATGAATGGCTTCTTGGACCAAACGCTTTAAAAGAAACTAACACAGTCTGGCTCTTGTATAAAACAGAAATAGAATGTTGGCCACTATTTGGGCCACTGCTCCTAACTTTTTCTGGAAAAGATCTTCACATCTTGAATAGGAACCATTATAACGAGTCCCTTATCAACAAAAGCAGCATTTTAGCTTTGAAGTCTTTTCTGAATAATGACTCGAAAATATGTGTGGAGGTTCCATAGCAGGTTAATGATCGATGGAGGTAATGTATCGCATCAAACGTTACTTATTAATTGTACCTTTTCATGGTCGGCCTTTAAGGTCAACAGCTCATTCTGTAGACTGTCTAGGTCGGCTCTCATGCTTTCATTGTTGGCTTCGTTCGTTTCCTTCGCTCTCCGTAGGGCAACCATGTCCCTTTCCACAGACTGGCGCAGCGCGGACTCCGTGTTCAACCTTAAGGAACGATATGTTCTCATTGACTGTGCAGGTACACAACGCATAGCAGGGCCGATTAGGCCTACTTCAAGGCATACCTCTTGGGATTAGGTGGAATTTACCTTATTAAAGCAAGTCTATGTACTTTATTGCTTGTTTGGCTTGATGTTGCTAGACACTTCCATTAAAAAAAGCTTAGCCTGAGTGTTTCTCGCGGTGGGCATATTATAATGTGCCTGCCATCAGGGACGGATTTACTCTCTCTGCTGCCCCAAGGCCAGGTTCCTCAATGCGACCCCCCCTAACGCCAAGCCCCCCCTCTTCCCCATGGAGAATGGCAGACCTGCAGACTGCATACAAGTGATCTCAGCGACACGCCGGGATCACTTGTACAAAACAAGCGGCGGCTACCAAAGCAGGGCTCAATGTAGAGAACAACTACCCGCCCGGCGCCCGGAACTGCATGGAGATAGGAATTCCACACCCCTGCTGCCCCTCTACTCCCTGCTGCCCCGAGGCCGGGCCTTGGTTGGCCTTGTGGGAAATCCGGCCCTGCCTGCCATTGTGTATGAAGCAATGCACTGCAGATAAGGAGGGTACAGAAGAAAGGCATGGCCTTTATTTATTCCATTGGTGACTTGCTTTTACAATCTACGGCCACGGGTATTCTCATTCCGATCAGTCACCTGGAAAAAGCATGGAGCTGGAGAAGTTTGCCTAGTCACTGCCGGCAGGGGGGGAGCTGAGGTACTGGAGCGAAAAGGCAAATACAACTGAGAAGAAGCTTCAGCTGCAAACCACGAGGGCCCATTTGCAACAGAATGCTGTGCGTGCCACACACGTGTTGATGTGCATTGCAATAAACAGCCCATTCAAAATGCATGGGCAGATACACATGCAACATATGAAAATGGGGCAGGGTGCATTCTGGGCAGGCATGCACTGTACTTTGCTGCAGTGACATCAGAGTTCAAGTGCATTTTTAAGGTGGATCGGGACGCCATTTGCAATAAAATGGCTCCACAGCACATGCTCCTGAGCAAAAGTGTCCCTGAGGATGAATTGCTCCATAGTGCCTGTAGCTACAGGGATCGGTGAGGGCTTGTTTTGCTGCTTGTTAATAATATATATTATATTTAGGTGTCCATAGCCTTGGCACAGATCCACTTTAAAGAGACAAAGTGCCCCAAGACCTAACCGTACCCTCCCCCTACCCAAATGCAAACCCACCTCGATTTAATGGATGCGATGCACATGTTGCTGAGCATTAGTGTAGCTGAGGATGAATTGCTCCATCGTGCCTGTAGCTACAGGGATGGGTGAGGGCTTGATTTGCTGCTTGTTAATAATATATATTATATTTAGGTGTCCATAGCCTATATATATATATATAGGTGTCCATAGCCTCAGCACAAATCCACTTTTAAGAAACAAAGTGCCGCCTGACCTTACCGTACCCTCCCCCTACCCAAATGCAAACCTTCCTCGCTTTAATGGATGCGGTTCTGCTCTCCCTTTACCCCCAGTGGTTCAAGTCTTCACTGTCCTTGCCAAGCCTGCACATTGGTGCCCCATAGACTTCAATGGGGCTCTGTCCCATGGCCAGAGACAGTCCCACATGTATACAAATGCCACAACCACGGCCGTCGCAGCGGGGTAAGTATGTATTGGTGAGGGAGGGTGGGTTAGGTTAGGTCAGGGCAAGGGGGGCAAAAAGGATAAGTACACATTGTTCTTAAAGTGCCCCTAATGAAGTTGTCATGGGGGTCAGTTGCTGAACTATAAGACATGTTTTAATTTTTACCTTCTTGTCTTTGTTTCAGTTTACAATACATAAGCCTTACGTGACTACAGTCCATTCAACTCACGGATGGGCGGTCCGCCTCTGATACTCACTTATCCTGGAAGTCATCCACGGCCAGCTTGGTGTTGTCAATAGCCAGCAGCAGTCGCGTGTTTCCAAAGATCGAATCCCCAATCTAGAATATCAATGGAGTCGCATCATGAGAAACGCAACAACGAAATGCGGACACCTGGTGCAGGTTGCAGCGGTAAACAATTTCTTTATACGTACTGTACATGTCTATTTGGGTGAACAGAGAAAGACTTTCAGAGTGGAAGTTCCCCCGAGAATTACTCCATGAACATTAAACACATGTACCCTGATCAATGCATAGCACTATGTTTGACTTTTGTTGGCACCCCATTGGTCCAGCATTCAGCACCGGAAACTGACGGCCATTACCAGCAACACCATTCAACTCATAGGGGCTGATTAAAGGAGAACCATGAGGGGAGTGATTTTCACTCAACCTCATAGTTCGAGCCGACGTGTGACAATGGAACTGTCACAGGTCGGCTCAGTAGATCGGGAAGCGAGCAAAACGCATACCGTCGCTCGCTCACTTCTCGATCATGTCCCTGCAGAGAGCCGTGACTGTCACTCACGGCTCTCTGCAGGGATTCCCCCCCCCCGCTTCGATCCTCCAGCGCTGACTGGCGGAACGGACGGGGGAGGGGGCGGGTACAGCTGGCTCTGCCTCTAGATAGTCAGATCCAGCTGTCAATCACGCAGCTGGGTGGATCTCGACAGTAATGTCGGGATCCGTCACGGCTGCGGCGATCTCAGTATGCTGAGCTCAGTCTACTGAGCTTTGGGTCACGGGAGGACGCTAGTTTGTGTCCTCCCGTGACCCTGGGGAGAACTATGGGGAAAAGCACTGACCCCATAGTCCTCCTTTAAACCTCTTCCGTCCACTGTATAGCTGGGTGAATGCCGTTTGCACAGAACTACCACCACTAGATGGCGCTGAGGAACATTTCCTATGCTCCTTGGCTCCATCTAGTGGCGGTAGTGACGTATGAATAGCATTCACCCTGCTATACGGTGGACGGAAGATTGATAAATCCGTCCTATGGTGCGTTGCTCAGCCCCATTCATGCTATCTACATCTTGACAGCATCAGAGCAAAGATGGAGTGCGTTCTAGCAGTTAGGATTTGCACTTATAGGATGGAGCCCTTTCCTGGCTAGCCAGGCTGCATGTCTGGACAATGGTCTGGTATGGATTTAAAAAAGGGGGGGGGGGAGGGGTCACCCTACTGTTTTTTTCTTTCTTTTTTTTCTTTGTGCTCCATCTTACACTCCATATCAGAAGCAAATAAATCAAGGATAAGGGTCTGGTATGGATTTTAGGTTGGAACTGCATGCTGTTTAATGACATTTCTCATCTGGCTTGTTTATGTGTTGTATAAAATGGCATGGGGACCCCTCCCAAAATACATACCAGACACTTAGATGCCCTAGACCAGGGGTAGGCAACCTTGGCACGCCAGCTGTGGTGAAGCTACCTGTGGCTGTCAATGCCCCATGGAACTTGCAGCTGGGGTGCCATGGTTGCACACCCCTGCCCTAGACCCTTTAGTGGGTCTGGTGGGTATTTTGGATGGGGAAAAAGGGTTCACATTCAAGTTTGCAACTTGGAAATCTTATGACAAATTCTACGACCGTGTCTGTGAATCGAACGCAACCAAAAATCGCCCAGTTCCTGTCTGACATCTGACGAATACAGCGGAATCGAAGTATCCTTGATAGTGCAAATTAGTTAGAGTAGCATGTAGTAGTACCATGAGGTCTATTTATGAAAAACTTCTCAGAGACATTTGCCCTGCAGATCTCTGAGAATGTTCCTTGTGTGCGAATAGAGGTTAAAACCGAACGTTATTGATTTTGCCAGCACAGTGGCATAGTGGTTAGCACTTCTGCCTTGCAGCACTGGGGGTCCCTAGTTTGAATCCCAGCCAGGTCACTATCTGCAAAGGAGTTTGCATGTTCTCCCTGTGCTTGCATGGGTCTCCTCTGGGTACTCCATACTCCAAGACATGCTACAAGGTTAATTGGCTCCTGTTTAAATTGGCCCTGTATGTGAGATAGGGACCTTAGATTGTAAGCTCCTTGAGGGTAGGGACTGATGTGAATGTGCAACTATGTAAAGCGCTGCGTAAATTGTCAGTGCTATATAAATACCTGTAATGAATAAATAAATACATTTTCTTTTCAGGTTGACTGCATGCAATGCAATACCACAATATGGCCACTAGATGGAGCTGAGGAGGATAGGGAAAAAGTTTAAATCCCCTGTGCTCTTTAGCTCCATCTGGTGGCCACAATGTGGTATTGCATTCAAAATGACATTCAACTTTTTTTTGCTTCTATTTGAACTGAACGAACATTCACGGGGATGCACGGGGTTAATGGCTTTGCAAATTGTTTATAAATAGGCCCCTTGGGTGATACATAATGTTTTATAGCAGTCAGAGGCAGGCTTTGTTCCTTTTATGTAGACCTTGGGTTTAACTGAAGCACAGCCTGCATGCCGATAGCTGTATTCTAGAATATTTCAGGCCATTTGATTTAATGTCTGTCATTTGATTTCTAGGAACACTCCTCATCTTCCTTTATAGTAAGCGGCCGTTTGTTTTCTCAAGGATTGACAAGTCTTTCCATTCATTAAAAAAAAAGAGTTTCTGTTAAATATTTGCCTCCAGCCTCTGAGTATTGTTCTGTCCGCTTGTTGGTTTTAAGGGAGAAGTCATGTGTTCGATGACATCATCACCCGCGCTGGAACTCAGCTTTCATGGGAGATGGAGTCCAGTCCAGGCGGGAAGGACAAACATTGCCGATCTTTGCTTGTGACACGGAGATACCAGAGAACAAACACGGGGGGGCAGGAGATGCTGGAATGTTACAATGTAACGACCCGGGGGGGCCATGTCTCACCTTCTATTTAGCGGATGTTGCATCATTATCAGTTGTATCAGCAATCAATGATCAATTAAATTAATTTAGGTAGATTAAAGCCTCACTCCACCCTCCTCCCCTCCCCTCTAGGATGCACCCCCCCCCATCTTATAATTATCTTTCAGAAGTCTTCAGGCCAGTCATGTGACCTACAGGGTCCTTTTCTTCTTTACTTCTTCTCTACCATTGGGTGGTCCTCACCAATGCAGCATTATACTGTGAGTGCCGGGAACTCTAGTGACGTCCCCCTAGGGGGCGGGTCCACGACACCCTGCACTTCTGAAAGAGAGTCGATAGACACTGGGCGTCATTCAACCCAGAAGAGGAGTGGATCTGGTATGGCGAGTGGGTATTGCCTATTTCATTGTGTAAAATTGGTGGCCACTCCTTCAAAAGGAAGGAAAACCAGACTTGGTTTGGAAGACCTCTTTCATGTTCAGCGGTCTTCCAAACTTTCATGGTCAGATGAAACCTTCTGGTACGCTCTTTTGGAACCCATTGGCAAACCTTAATTTGACACCGGCGCTTACATAAAGGGTGCCGTCAGAGCGCCCCTCCGATGTGACTGATTAGGACAATTGACCGGTCAGGAAGTCACATGCTCCCCCTTACCCAAAAGCCTGGCTCCATCAGCAAAGGGCTCCGGCAGCGTAGGAGCATAATTTGGAAAGTGGACATGCCCGGGAAGGTGGAGGGCCCCTTTGTGCAGACACTGTCAATGGGCATGTGCCCCATCCCTGAAGTACCATCATCCATAATGGATACCGGAATGTTCCCCTGTCTTTATAATGGATTCTAGAACATTCCCCAGTCCTTCTTATGGATACTGGAACATTCCCCAGTCCTTATAATGGATACTGGAATGTTCCCCAGTCCTTCTTATGGATACTGGAATGTTCCCCAGTCCTTATAATGGATTCTGGAATGTTCCCCAGTCCTTATAATGGATACTGGAACGTTCCCCAGTCCTTATAATGGATACTGGAACGTTCCCCAGTCCTTATAATGGATACTGGAACGTTCCCCAGTCCTTATAATGGATACTGGAACGTTCCCCAGTCCTTATAATGGATACTGGAACGTTCCCCAGTCCTTATAATGGATACTGGAACGTTCCCCAGTCCTTAGCACAGTGGCATAGTGGTTAGCACTTCTGCCTTGCAGCACTGGGGGTCCCTAGTTTGAATCCCAGCCAGGTCACTATCTGCAAAGGAGTTTGCATGTTCTCCCTGTGCTTGCATGGGTCTCCTCTGGGTACTCCATACTCCAAGACATGCTACAAGGTTAATTGGCTCCTGTTTAAATTGGCCCTGTATGTGAGATAGGGACCTTAGATTGTAAGCTCCTTGAGGGTAGGGACTGATGTGAATGTGCAACTATGTAAAGCGCTGCGTAAATTGTCAGTGCTATATAAATACCTGTAATGAATAAATAAATACATTTTCTTTTCAGGTTGACTGCATGCAATGCAATACCACAATATGGCCACTAGATGGAGCTGAGGAGGATAGGGAAAAAGTTTAAATCCCCTGTGCTCTTTAGCTCCATCTGGTGGCCACAATGTGGTATTGCATTCAAAATGACATTCAACTTTTTTTTGCTTCTATTTGAACTGAACGAACATTCACGGGGATGCACGGGGTTAATGGCTTTGCAAATTGTTTATAAATAGGCCCCTTGGGTGATACATAATGTTTTATAGCAGTCAGAGGCAGGCTTTGTTCCTTTTATGTAGACCTTGGGTTTAACTGAAGCACAGCCTGCATGCCGATAGCTGTATTCTAGAATATTTCAGGCCATTTGATTTAATGTCTGTCATTTGATTTCTAGGAACACTCCTCATCTTCCTTTATAGTAAGCGGCCGTTTGTTTTCTCAAGGATTGACAAGTCTTTCCATTCATTAAAAAAAAAGAGTTTCTGTTAAATATTTGCCTCCAGCCTCTGAGTATTGTTCTGTCCGCTTGTTGGTTTTAAGGGAGAAGTCATGTGTTCGATGACATCATCACCCGCGCTGGAACTCAGCTTTCATGGGAGATGGAGTCCAGTCCAGGCGGGAAGGACAAACATTGCCGATCTTTGCTTGTGACACGGAGATACCAGAGAACAAACACGGGGGGGCAGGAGATGCTGGAATGTTACAATGTAACGACCCGGGGGGGCCATGTCTCACCTTCTATTTAGCGGATGTTGCATCATTATCAGTTGTATCAGCAATCAATGATCAATTAAATTAATTTAGGTAGATTAAAGCCTCACTCCACCCTCCTCCCCTCCCCTCTAGGATGCACCCCCCCCCATCTTATAATTATCTTTCAGAAGTCTTCAGGCCAGTCATGTGACCTACAGGGTCCTTTTCTTCTTTACTTCTTCTCTACCATTGGGTGGTCCTCACCAATGCAGCATTATACTGTGAGTGCCGGGAACTCTAGTGACGTCCCCCTAGGGGGCGGGTCCACGACACCCTGCACTTCTGAAAGAGAGTCGATAGACACTGGGCGTCATTCAACCCAGAAGAGGAGTGGATCTGGTATGGCGAGTGGGTATTGCCTATTTCATTGTGTAAAATTGGTGGCCACTCCTTCAAAAGGAAGGAAAACCAGACTTGGTTTGGAAGACCTCTTTCATGTTCAGCGGTCTTCCAAACTTTCATGGTCAGATGAAACCTTCTGGTACGCTCTTTTGGAACCCATTGGCAAACCTTAATTTGACACCGGCGCTTACATAAAGGGTGCCGTCAGAGCGCCCCTCCGATGTGACTGATTAGGACAATTGACCGGTCAGGAAGTCACATGCTCCCCCTTACCCAAAAGCCTGGCTCCATCAGCAAAGGGCTCCGGCAGCGTAGGAGCATAATTTGGAAAGTGGACATGCCCGGGAAGGTGGAGGGCCCCTTTGTGCAGACACTGTCAATGGGCATGTGCCCCATCCCTGAAGTACCATCATCCATAATGGATACCGGAATGTTCCCCTGTCTTTATAATGGATTCTAGAACATTCCCCAGTCCTTCTTATGGATACTGGAACATTCCCCAGTCCTTATAATGGATACTGGAATGTTCCCCAGTCCTTCTTATGGATACTGGAATGTTCCCCAGTCCTTATAATGGATTCTGGAATGTTCCCCAGTCCTTATAATGGATACTGGAACGTTCCCCAGTCCTTATAATGGATACTGGAACGTTCCCCAGTCCTTATAATGGATACTGGAACGTTCCCCAGTCCTTATAATGGATACTGGAACGTTCCCCAGTCCTTATAATGGATACTGGAACGTTCCCCAGTCCTTATAATGGATACTGGAACATTCCCCAGTCCTTCTTATGGATACTGGAATGTTCCCCAGTCCGTATAATGGATTCTGGAATGTTCCCCAGTCCTTATAATGGATACTGGAATGTTCCCCAGTCCTTCTTATGGATACTGGAACATTCCCCAGTCCTTCTTATGGATACTGGAACGTTCCCCAGTCCTTCTTATGGATACTGGAACGTTCCCCAGTCCTTATAATGGATTCTGGAACATTCCCAAGTCCTTATAATGGGTTCTGGAACATTCCCAAGTCCTTATAATGGGTTCTGGAACATTCCCAAGTCCTTATAATGGGTTCTGGAACATTCCCCAGTCCTTCTTATGGATTCTGGAACATTCCCCAGTCCTTATAATGGATTCTGGAACATTCCCCAGTCCTTATAATGGGTTCTGGAATGTTCCCCAGTCCTTACCTGCTTCCTGAGGCTGAGGATCAGATTGTATTGGTCGTTGTAGTCTTTCTTCACGTAATCATTTGCTGCCATCTTCTCTCTTATCTGAATTTCCAGCTTCCTGTTGGACTTTTCCAGAGACGCCACCTTCTCCAGGTAGCTGGCCAGACGATTGTTGAGGTTCTGCATCACCTCCTTGTCGTTGTTCCCATTGGACAGCGCCGAGTTGAGCGCCGGTGCCGAGGAGACGGCCCAGGGTTTCCCATCGTAAGATAGGCTGGATGAGGAGAACCTGAGCCTGGAGGGACCTCCGCGAGGGGAGACCAGAGAAGCCATGGGAGACTGAGGAAACAAAGAACACGTCTTCAGATGATTTAGAACCAAGTGGCTGAACTTTGTAAATATCACAATTTGCTCAAGGAGGGACAACTGGTGTGCACGTTCTACGAGGCGCCGGCTCAGAATTGCATTCTCCCTGCCCTGGGTAGTGATGGGCCGAACGCCCCCGTGTTGGTCGGTTCGAATTCGATCTTTAGAACATGAGAAAAGTTGGAATTCGAACTCGAACTCAATGCAAGTCTATGGGGGTAGAACCTTGTAAATCAAATGTCCCCTTTTTGAAGGCTTATATTCAAGTTATTGGCCATAACAAAGGGCATGGGGATTCGGGTACTGCCCTGGAATACATGTATGGGGGTCCGGGTACTGCCCTGGGGGACATGTATGGGGATTCGGGTGCTGCCCTGGGGGACATGTATGGGAATCCGGGTACTGCCCTGGGGGACATGTATGGGGATCCGGGTACTGCCCTGGGGGACATGTATGGGGATTCGGGTACAGCCCTGGGGGACATGTATGGGGATTCGGGTACCCTCTACGGTCATTAATAGCTAATAATCAGCACTCTCTAGGGTCATTAATAGGAAATTCCTATACTCATCAGCGCCCTCTAGGGGTATTAATAGGAAATTCCTTTACTCATCAGCGCCCTCTAGGGGCATTAATAGGAAATTCCTATAGTTATCAGCACCATCTTGGGGAGCCAGTGCCCTTCGTGTTTTTTGTTTCTCTCTATTTATGACTTTTTATGTGTATTTGAACATCAAATAAAAACGCTAATGGGGAGTGTTTTGGTTTTTTTTTTCTTGCACAGGAACAGGTCCAGGATAGATGAAATGAGCTTTCCCTAACCCTTGGGAGCCATTCAAAGCCAATTACACCCTTAAAAACCACCAAATGCCACCTCATCTCATCTTCCCTTTTGGCTCCAATGCATTGTGCCAAAATGGTAAAAAAAATTTGCCGAAATTTTCAGATTTTTACAAAAATTTGGGGAAAAGAAAAAACTCTCAGTTTTACTCATCCGTGCCCACCGTGAACAGCTGACCTCCCTGATAGAAATAGAAGCTTCACAGCTGTTTGAGCTCAATGGCTGACCTTTCCCAGTAAGGTTCAGCTCCAGCTTTGGAAACCCATTTATTGGCGTTCTTAATGGGTGGCACTGGTGTCCCGAAAGCCACCAAGTGACCTCAGAGCTGCTTTTCTGAGCAGCAGAACAGATGACTGACAGGGGTCTCCTTGGGTGAGCCCTTTAGGTCGTTGAAGCCCTGTGCATCATAAACAGTCAGCATTTTTCCTGCCATCACATTTTTAGATCTTTTTTTCTCAGTGCTGCCGATCTCCTGCAGTCACTTCCTGTCTACATGCAACCCAGCGATGGCTGCATGGCGTTTCTCAGGGCAGCAGTGGACCATGTCTGTCCAATTCTAGTGTTCGCTGGGACAGCCTGTGCCAACGCAAGAGCACAAATGGGAGACGGGCCAAGTGTTGTCACCTTAGCAACATCACTTTGATAAGGTATGCGATGCAAACTGAAAGCCATTAGTATATTAAAGGAGAACTCTGGGTTAAAGCTTTTCCCCATAGCTCTCCTAAGGGTAACGGGAGGACACAAACTAGCGTCCTCCCGTCACCCTAGGCTCAGTATACCGCGAGCTACAGCTCCCTATAGCTCCCTATATACCGAGACGCCGTGGCTGAAGCGGATCCTGACAATTGTGCCGGGATCCGCCCAGCTGCGTGAGTGACAGCTGGCTCTGCCTATCTAGAGGCAGATCCAGCTGTACCCGCCCCCTCCCCCGTCCGTTACAGATTAAACTTCAGCAGATGAGAATTTAGCGTTCCCCCGTGACCTAGAGATGCTCAATTACATTGATAGACGCGGTATACAAGGTTGTTGTATCAGACGCATGCTGTTGCCATGGTTGCTTCCTGCACAATTTGAATACGCAAACACAAGTCTGTCTCATTTATGATCTTTTCTTCCTGTAATAAAACCCGCGGCTTTTGTTGGCGAGGGCAACACTCGGGGAGAGCGA